TTTCTTTACTTGTTGGAAAGCGTATTGTTCACGTTGTCCCCAAACCCACGTTGCTTTTTTGTCTAAGAGTCTATGTAATGGTTCAGCTACCGTTGCTTTATTGGGTAAAAAGACGTTATAAAAATTGATAAGTCCAAGGAACGCCTGTAGATCTGCCTTGTTCCTTGGAGTGGGGGCCTTCTTAATTGCCTTTAATTTGTCCTCAGTGGGATGGATTCCTTGACTGTCCAGGAGGTATCCCAAAAACTCCACCCTTTCGGTACATAACTGGCATTTATTTTTTTTAACTTTGAGGCCTGCGTCTTGGAACCTTTGTAAGACCACTCGGAGTCGTTTTTCTAGAATATCTCTGTTAGGGGTGGCGATGAGTACATCGTCGAAATACGGTACGACCCCTCTTATTCCTTGTAACAGCCTTTCCATTAAGCTCTGAAAGATTCCTGGAGTGACGCTCACCCTGAACTGGAGCCGGTTGCATTTAAATGCACCCCTATGAGTGATGATAGTTTGCGCCTCCGCGGTGGCCAGATCTACAGGCAATTGTTGATACGCCTGCGCTAGGTCTAATTTAGTGAAAACTTTCCCGCCGCCCAGGGAATGGAGCAGGTGTTGCACTACCGGCACTGGATATGCACTTTGCTGAAGTGCGTGGTTTAGGGTGGCCCAGTAGTCTCCGCAAATTCTCAGTGACCCATCAGGCTTGATAGGCGTCACTATTGGGGTTTCCACCGGGCGTGGTCGGTGGGTTCCAGTACGCCCTGCACTATTAGCTTATCGAGTTGTTCGTCGATTTTAGGTTTCAGGGCGAACGGCACCCGACGCGGCTTAAGGCAGATGGGTGCTACCTCAGGGTTCAAGTTAAATGAGATCGGGGTCCCCTTGTACTTGCCTAGTCCGTTCGCGAAAACGTCTTGGAATTCTTGCACGAGGGCTTCCTCCCAATCGTTGCTCTCTGCACGGTGGACTCCGGCTACAGTGATTCCAAGCGGTCTGAACCATTGCAGGCCTAAAAGACTAGGCCGGTCACGGTCCACGACAGTCAGTGGCAGTGCGACGGTGTGGTCCTTGAAAGAGACCTGGAATCGGCGGGACCCGACAACGGGAATTCGGTTACCCTGGTAATTTTTGAGTATAAGCCTTTGAGGGTTGAGGTCTTGGCGGCGAATCGTCGGAATGAGCTGTTGGAGCGTCTTCCAGGACACCATCGAGAGGGATGATCCTGAGTCCACCTCCATTACACAAGGTTTGTTTTTGATGGCGACCTTTACTCGGATTTTCCCGGCATCAAGGGATGTAGCGTGGCCTATGGTAATTGTCTGATGGGTCTCTTCCCGCCTGGTTTCTTCCTGCCTGGTGGAAGTGGTGGATGGTTTGTTTCTGTAGGAGTGGCTTCCCCATTGGTGATTCAGTTTGTTTCGGGGTGTGCCGAAGAATTCTGAAGACTGGCATTCGGCCTGTCGGGGTTTGGAGTTGGAGTTTTGTTTGCTTCTGCAAACCTTTGCGATGTGACCTCTTTTCCCGCAAACGCGGCAGAGTGTGTCGAGGAATTTGCAGCTGGATCGTGGGTGATTCGCTCCACATCCTGCACAAGGTCGAGATGAACGTTGTGTGAACTGGTCTCGTTCCGTTTGGAGTCAGTTGACCTCTTCCTCATCGCTTTCTGACAGGGATTCTAGGTCTTCGTGGTGAGTCAATACCGGGTGTCTCTCTGAGCGAGGCGAGGTATCGTTGGCGTGTTGACGTAGTGGTGCACTGGTGCGGCGCATTCGGGCTGCCGACTTTTTGGTTGCCTCCGCTGCAGTGGCTTCTTTAAGGGCATCGGTGAGGCTGATGTCCCCTTTAGCCATGATTTTGCTCTGGATCGTGCCGTCTTCTAGGCCCAGAACTAGACGGTCTCGGAGGGCTTCTTCTAAGTTAGAGAATCCGCAGAGGCCTCCAAGGTTGCGGAGGTCTGCAACGTAGTTGGCAAGGCTTTCGCCTTTCCGTTGATCCCTCTGGTAATTTTCGTGTCTTCTGACTAAGGTTGGCACGGTGGGCGCGTAGTGAGCCTGTAGTAAAGGCTCGAGGACGTCCCAGTCCATCTCTTTTACCTCTGCTGGCTTGGCAAGTGACTTTGCCATTTTAAACACGGTAGGCCCGCAGTGAGTTAGAAAGATAGCTCTTTTTTTGCCGGTTGTTGCATCTTTCAAATTGTTGGTCTCCAGAAACATCTGGAACTGATCCATGTATGCCTCCCAGTCTTCAGTTTCTGGGTTGAATGGAGCGGGTGGTACGGCACCGCTGGCCATGTTGCCGTTGATGGTGCGTGTTCGACCACGTGCTCTGTTGGTTGCTCTGTAGATCAGTCAGCTCTTCGGTCTCCGAATCCCACCTTCATCGCCAGTGTTAAGTTTGGAGAATAATGGAGACCAGACATCTGACCAGTGACTTCAACTCTTTGATAACAGTAGATAGAACAGAACAGAGCAAGGCTATGGGCAGCAGTAACCCTTTTATAGGGTTGGCTGCTACCCTATTAACCAATAATTAGTGCAACAAGTTCAACTAATAACCAATAAGAAGTGTCCTAATATTGGCCAATCAGGGGTTTGTTATGGACCAATCCTTGTTTGTTGTTTAAGGACCAATCAAGTGTGCAGGCTTTCAAAACCTGCTTTGCATTGGGCTTAGTTACTTTTATTGATTCACAACAGAAATGATAATGAATAGAAATGCTTGCACCAAAACGATTAGCAGTTTGTGGATCGCCAGCTTTCTCAATGCTTCTTTGCACACCATTGCCACTTTTATTTCTCCTTTCTGTTCTAATATTGTTAATCAGTTCTATTGTGAAGTCCCATATTTACTTAAAATTGCCTGTTTTGTTTCATATGCAACTAAATTTGGAGTTTTAATGTTTACTATTACTCTAACAGCTGGCTGTTTTGTTTTTGTCATTGTCACTTATGTACATGCCTTTTCTGCAGTTATGAGAATTCCTTCTGTTCAAGGAAAGAAAAAAGCTTTCTCTACTTGCCTACCACATGTTTTTGTCTTCTTATTTGTGTTTACTGCTTCTTTTGCTTACCTAAAACCTATCACTGACCACCCATCATTCACTGACTTCATAATAACATTAATGTATTCAATTATTCCATCTATGTTGAATCCAATAATCTATAGTCTGAGAAACAAAGACATCAAAGTCACTCTTACAAGACTTTCAGTTCAAATATTATTGCTGTTTAAGAAGAATTAAGTATGCACTTACCTATTTTCAAATTTTAATATACAGATAAAAAAACAGACATAGGGTATAAAATCTTACAAAATATCAAAGAAAAAAATAAGCTGGAAAATTCATTTTATAAGATCAAACTAATAGCATGTGTCTGTGCTGCACTGAAAAAGCTCTGACTCTGGGAGGACAAATCTATAATTTTCTTATAAACATTTTGAGAAGGAACTGAGAGAGAATGTTTCCTGCAGGAAATTGCAGCTGGATAGGACCCAGATTATTTTTCCATTGTCTTAACCACTAGACTATATTCTTTCTGTTATAGTAATTAAATTTATATATTGTGTCTGATATGTCAGCTTCACAAATAATTATTACAATACTCTGACAATAATAGCTAACAAAAATTATAATAAACTGATATTAAATGTTAAATTAAATGGATCTTCAATTAAATATATAATATAAATTATGGATATAGTATGGAATATTTATTTACCTATTTATGGTACTTATATAACCATCTATCTCATACAATGCAATCCATAAAACATAGTTAAAACATAGCCATCATCCTAGGAATTAGACCAAAGATTCCTTACACTTCAATCTCCTACTCCCTCCCATCCTAATCTAATGCTGGTGGGAAGAGCCAGGTCTTCACAGCAGTTGAGGAAGCATGCATCCATTCAGATGGCAACATTAAAGCTAATAGGATGGGAAGATACCTTCAAGAAGAGACAGTACTACAATTGATTTGATGCTATCTGAGGTTGACAACCAGCACCTGTTGAATTGTACCTGGAAAACAACTAGAAGTCAATGAAGTCACACAGCTGAGTGAGCCATGGTCCAGCCAAAAGTGTGCATGCTGCTACATTCTGGATCAGTTGCAGCTTTTGGATAATCATAAAAGGCAAACCCATGTAGAATACATTGGAATAAGTGTAACATGTGAAAACAATATTTTTTATTTATTTATTAGGAAAATGTATTGATGAAATGTATTTGAAAGTAAATAAACTTATTTGCCTATTTTGTGGAAAATTATTTGAAAATTCTGTCAAAATCAATGTAGACATTGTCTCTCTTTATATCAGAGATAAAAACTTGCATAAAAAGGAAGTTTATGAATCAAAATTGTTACCAGTTTTTGAAGCATCAAATAAACTGTTCAATCCATTCTTTATGCAAAAAGTTAATCTTCTTATACTAAAAGAGTCAGAGAGAGAGAAAATAGTAAATTTTGCTTAAACAGGATTTGGTTAGTTTACATTAGGGGGCTAAAGGCTAAAACATACAGGAATTTGGCAATGCTAGTCTAGTGAAGAAAAGGACCGGGGAGACATGACAACAGTGTTCCAATATTTGAAGGGCTGCCACAGAGAGTAAGGGAACAAGCTATTTTCCAAAGCACCTGTAAGCCAGACAAGGAATAATGGATTCAAGAAGAGACTGGACTGCCATCTATCACAAATGGTGTATGGTGTCCTGCTTGAGTGGAGAGTTGGACTAAAAAGGTCTCTTCCAACTCTGTTAATCTGCAGCAGTAAACATTATTAAAATATTTGTGACTTAGATTTATCCAAATTTATCAATAAAACAATTAAATCATATTCTTTGTGTAGTGTATATGAGTATTATATGTGCTCTGAGGTGTAGTTGTAAAATGCAACCCTAATTGCTTTGATCTATCTTAAATGGAACTATAAATGGTGACTGCCCTGCAGAATTTACTTATTTATTTATTGCTAAATAAAGGCTAAAATAAAAACTTATCAGAAACTGGATATTTCTTATACTATAGATCAACAAATATTGAGTAGGTTACAATAATCTCTGTGTTATGATCATTTCTACAGTCATGCATCTAGTCCTTAACTTGATGCAAACAAACATGGCAGCACAATTTCTCATAATTTTGGGGGTAAGTAAAGCAACAACGCAACTTAAGTAAATCATAATCTAAACCTAAAAGAAAGCTTGAAAACAAATGTTCCGTTTCAAAGTAAGAAAAAAATTGAAATGTTATAAATTAATCATCAACAATCATCATCAAAGTAAAAATAATGGAAAACTAGGGAAAGGAAAAAGGGAAGAAGAGAAAATGTGGGGTAGAAAGAAAAAAAAGAAAATGTGTTGACTTCCAACTCTTTTTAGCAAAGTAGAAGATAATAACATTACAGCCTCAACTTTTTACTTCCACACAATAGTGTATACTAGACATTTCTATAACAACAAACCTTTCTAATCAGCAAAACAAAATCAAAGTCAAAATCTTCCTGGGTGTTGGTAGAAACAGCGAATTTTCTAATCTGATATGCTCACTATCCTATTTTCTAAGGACAATTATACTGATTGCTGAATGAATATCAACCAAATTGTTTTAATTATTAACAGTAATTATGCTGAATTTGAACCTCTCATCAATAATAGCAAAATACATGTTACATGGGAACAATAACATGTTATACTTAACATAATGAAAATATCTACAATTATGAAATGGATACATTTTTATTTCAATTTCTTTAAAAAAATGGATAGTGTAAGAGCCATCTATTTTTTGGTTTCTGAGCCTGCAAATTAATCCTGCCCCCACTGTTAAAATAATACAAACCCTTGGGCAATGACTTAATGAATCTCTGTTGTTATGTTTGCTTTTTTTAAAAAATCAATCCACTGTGACTTTTTTATATTGTGTATGGAGACAATAAAAAAAACTTTGGGGACATGGCAAGAAATATTAGTGAAACTCTCACTGAAATACTACACAATATAAAATCTTACTGATATATGTAGAAAGACAATAAGGAAAAAAGGTAAGAAAACTGCTGGAATAAATATGGATGAAGATGGTAAGTCATTCACTTGCTTTTATTTTGCATTATTCACTATTTCTCCCTTTTTTCCCTTTAAATACTCATTAGTCTTCCCATTCCTTTCTTTTACAAAATAATAGTTAATAAATAATTTTAGCTACTATAGAGGAATGACTCTTCAGGGACTTTTACTTAAGGAATGGGATTAAAATAAATAGCAATTGAATACATCTTAAATTAGCTAAGTAGAAATAAAGAAAGCCTTTCCCCACAGTAATTTGTTTCACTTTTCTCTGGTTACTATTTAGAATATTTTTACTTATTCAAAGATATTTTTTTTTTTTGCAGGATGGAGTTGTAAATTTAACCCACTGAAGTTTAAGCTTAAGATTTAAGTGTTTTCTAAGCTTTAGTGTGACTCTATTTTAATTTCTCATAAATTCCTTTCCCCCTATTCTTAAAACTTAGAACCCTTTCCAATATTTGGAAACATTTTTATTCACTTTATAAACCAAGATAACTAGATAGAGTTCTTGATTCAAATTAAATTATCAATTAAAATGTAAGTTTTCTGTAAGGTTTAAATATTTTCTTCCCAATACAAATTTTGTGCAGAACAAGATACAAAACAGAGGGACCTTCAAAGTATCTTTTAAAGTAATGCAAATCCTATAGTTCCATGAAGGACAATAATGAAGAAACTTTAAGATATTGGCTTAAAAACAAATATCTCTATCTACTGCTCCATTGCTATTGAATGTAATGTTCAAAAACTAATAAGATATTTCTAGAACTATTAAAGGACAGAGCTCAGAGGAGATTATTATTCTGAGTCAGGCTGAATTGACTAAATTCAGATGCACAGTTATCGAGCTATTCTGGAAAAAAAACCAAAACCTGTTCTATGAATATAAAATGTTGTGTATTATGGTACATTGAATTTGTTTCGACAAACAAGCAAAATAGCATCTTCAACAGTATCAGTTAGGTATAGATAGATGATTGGGGTAGGGAAGGGGAGAGAAAGGGAGGAAGGGAGACAACAATCTTAATTATGTCATTTTGATATAGTTTAATATACTTTAATTCAAATTCAAATTCTAACAGCTTCTTTCTGACTTGAGAAGAATTGGAAGGAGGGAGAGAAGGAAGGAAGGAAGGAAGGAAGGAAGGAAGGAAGGAAGGAAGGAAGGAGGAAGGAAGGAAGCTATTGGAGTAGAAGATTGTTATTTGAATGGTACAGTTTTTAATGGTATGAGAAATCAAAAGTTAATGTAACATTTAAGAATCATTTTGTTAAATATGCCATTCCTAGATTTTAGAATACATGTAAAATAAGGTTATTTCCTAAATTGCTTTTATGGGTGTCATTGCAATAAACTTTTTTAAGAAGAGAGATGATATCCAAACAACCATGGATGAAATACGCTTATTTGTCATTTTGTAATAATATAGATTTTAGACTCAAAATAAAAGAAGAATTGAAAAAGCAAGGTTATACTTGCCTTTGGTTTACATATATTCATTTGTCTGAAAGATTTAAACTGGATAAAATGTTTTTTACATATTAAAAATGATGAACACATTCTTGACAAAGTTTATAAATTATTATTAAAATTTAATCTTGAAGATGTATATGTGAAAGATTGTATGGTTAAATAGGCTAAAAACTTCAGTTATAATTTTAAGCTTTGATCAATGGAAAAATGTGAATACAAGATTTGAAATTTAAGTTGAGGCCCAATTTGAAAGCTTTTTTTGATAAAATGGTGTATCAATGGTATTTAACTTTTTGATCTATTATAAAAGATGTTTCAAACAAATGTTGGAAATGTAATGTAATAAGGTACTTTTTAATATGTCGGGTGATATGTAAGAAGGCTAAGAATTTTTTGATTTTCAAAAAATTAAAATTAATGAAAAATGAAACCTGAAGCTTTTCTTTTAGGGACAGCACATGTTTTCTTGGAAAGGAAATATGAGATTTTGTTGTTGTATATGACATCAGCTGCAAGATTAATATATGTCCAGACATGGAAAGAGTTTATTCCCAAAATGGAAGAATGGACTTTGAAATTGGTGGAGCTAGCTGACATGGCAAAATTGACTGTTTTGCTTAGAGACAACAATTTATGACTTGAAGAATATTGTAAGCCATTTTTCACAACCTCAATTTCTATAGAACAAGGTAGAGGTATGATGGTCATTCACACTGGGTGAAACCAGGCTCAATAGCAGTAACTGTGAGAGGGATCTTGGAGTCCTAGTGGACAACCAGCTAAATATGAGCCAGCAGTGTGCAGCAGCAGCCAAAAAAGCTAATACAATCCTAAATTGTATTAACAGAGGGATACAATCAAGATCAAGGAAGTACTAATACCACTCTATAAAGCCTTAGTAAGACCACACCTAGACTAATGCATCCAGTTTTGTTCACCACATTATAAAAAAGATGTTGAGACTCTAGAAAAAGTACAGAGAAGAGCAATCAGGATGATTAGGGGACTGGAGGCTAAAACATACAACGAACGGTTGCAGGAACTGGGCTTGGCTTGTCTAGTAAAGAGAAGGACCAGGGGAGACATGATAGAGGTCTTCCAATATTTGAGGGGCTGCCACAGGGAGAAAGGGGTCAAGCTATTTTCTAAAGCGCCTGTAGGCCAGACAAGGAATAATGGATGGAAACTGAACAAGGAGAGATTTAACCTGGAAATAAGGAGAAACTTTCTGACAGTGAGAACAATCAACCAATGGAACAGCTTGCCCTCGGAAGTTGTGGGAGCACCATCACTTAAGACTTTCAAGAAGAGCTTGGACTGCCATTTGCCAGAAATGGTGTAGGGTCTCCTGCTTGGGTGGGGGGTTGGACTAGATGACCTACAAGGTCCCTTCCAACTCTGATTATCTGCTATCTGTTAAACTACGAGAGTGTGTGAAATAACAACCTCAGTTATGTTACATTGACATAGTTGAACATATATATATTCTAATATATATATTCATATATATATTCTCATATATATATTCTAATCTAGCTTTCAATAATTTTTCTACGATCTGATAAAAAAGAACTGATTTCTTTAGACTCCAATTTCTGATGAAATTAGTGTTAAAAATGCTGTTAACCAAGTAAAATATCATAGATCTCAAATCCCAAGACTATAAAATAGGCATAAGACTTGATAGTTGTTAAATATCAACCTTGAACTTTAACCAAACACAATTACAAACTTTATTGCTCAGAATATTTTAATAAATATGAAGAAACAAGTTGTACTCTAATCTTTTCTAAAAGTTGATCCAATGCTCTCCAATTAATGATGGGGTATTGAAATATGAAAAAAAATATTTTCATATTTCATAAAATATGAAATATTTTAACAATTATTTTTCCTGTTCTTTCTAGAAATATCATTATTAGGAATGAATAATGATACATCTGGTTTTCTTCTCTGGAAATTCTCAGAAATTTGGGAGCTACAGATTATGCACATGACTTTACTATTGATACTCTATTTAATGACATTATCAGGGAACCTTGTCATCATCTCTGCTATTGTGTTTGACCAGCACCTTCACAGCCCCATGTACTTCTTCCTGTTGAATTTAGCCATGCAAGATATTGGGTCCATTTCAGTAATTGTCCCCAAAGCTATTTTTAATTCTCTTATGAATACTAGGGCTATTTCTCATGCTGGATGTGTTGCTCAAGTCATGTTCTTCTTCTATTTCTTGACCTGTGATGTAACCCTCCTAACTGTGATGGCATACGATCGGTATATTGCCATTTGTAACCCTTTACAATATGAAATGATAATGAATAGGAAGGCCTGTACCAAAATGATTGGCAGTGTATGGACAGCTGGCTTTCTCAATGCTTCATTACACAGTACTGTCACTTTTCTTACTCCTTTCTGTTCTAAGATTATTAATCAGTTTTACTGCGAAATCCCTTATTTACTTAAGATTGCTTGTTCTAGTTCATATATATATGAAATTGGAGTTATGATCTTCACTGGTACATTAGCACTGGGTTGTTTTGTTTTTGTACTTCTGACTTATGTGCATATCTTCTCTGCCGTTCTGAGAATTCCTTCAGTTGAAGGAAGAACAAAAGCCTTCTCTACTTGCCTACCACACATTATTGTTTTCTCCATTTTTTTCTTTACTGCTAGTTTTGCTTATCTAAGAGTCATATCTGACAGTCCACCCCATCTTGATTTCATAATTACAATAATGTATTCCATTGTTCCACCCATGATGAATCCGTTAATCTACAGCATGAGAAACAAGGACATCAAAGTTGCTCTTTCAAGACTTTATGCTCACATATCACTGCAGTTTAAAGAAATGTGAATTGTGTACTGAGCTAGGTTTTCATTTAATCAGGAAAGACAAAAATAGATATATGATATAAAACTTATATAACCATTCCCCCATATATCAAATGAAGAATAAATGCAACTCTTTCTTAATAGAAGAAAATACCTTTAGGACATGGAAAGCACTTATATGTTAACTGTATTAATTGTTCACTGATTCCTATACTATATAGATACTACAGAGTTCATGCCTGACTATAACTCTACTATAGAGTTCACTGTCAGTCACTGTGTAGTTTTCCAATGTTCATGCAAAATATGAATATTCAATGTCCTATTCTTTAGTATCTAAAATCTGCATGTCAAATTGATTTAACAATAACAAGTATTTATGTTAATACCTGATGTCATCATTTGAGCATGAGAAAAAGAATAAATTGTTCATTTTCATAATTTTCCAATAGATTTAATAGTGTCATGAGACTCATCCATTCTATTATATTTTTATCGCTAAATGGTGCAATTAATTTCAAAAGGTCCAGGAAGCATTATTTTGCCCTCAATTATTACCAGCATTAGGCTCTTCTCCACTGAGTCCTTTCTTTTCATTAGGTGACCAAAGTATTTGGAAAAGGAAATGGCTTCTGGAGAAGGAAATGGCAACCCACTTCTCCATTCTGGAGAAGGAAATGGCAGTATCTTTGCAATGAAAACCCCATGAATAGTACCAAAAAGCAAAAAGATATGATGCTGGAACATGAGCCCCTCAAGTCAGAAGGTGTCCAATATGCTACTGGGAAAGAACTGAGGGCTAGTACTATTAGCACCAGAAAGAATGAAGCGATTGGATCAAATCTGAAAATTAGATATCCATTCTGTTAAGTATGGAGAATAATGGAGACCAGACATCTGACCAGTGACTTCAACTCTTTAATAACAGTAAATAGAACAGAACAGAGCAAGGCTATGGGCAGCAGTAACCCTTTTATAGGGTTAGCTGCTACCTTATTACCCAATGAGATGAGCAACAAGTTCAAACTAATAACCAATAAGAATAGTCCAAATAGTGGCCAATCAGGGACTAGTTCTGGCCCAATCCAAAGTTGTTGTATAAGGACCAATCAAGTGTGCAGGTTTTCAAACCCTGATTTGCATTTAAGTTATTAACTTTTATTGATTCACAACACCCCTCCCCCTTGGGTTCCGTTTGAGGGGAGCTGTAATAAAATCCTCAAGATAGACAGGCCGTTTGGTCTGCCTGGATGATTTCCGAGGCTCCACTGGTTTTGGTCTAAGGTCCGGTTCCGGTGGAGCGTTTGGATGATCTTTATTAAATTCTGTTTCACTGCACGGTGATTCTGTGCTGCTTTCACTCTGGTTGTCTCCGCTACTCCGTGTTTCTTCGGGGTTTTGCAGTTCGGTTTCCCCCGTATTACAGTTCCCTGAAAAAGTCAACTCCCTCCCCGCTTCACGTTCCGGTGTCTCGCTGGGCCGTAGGGTTTCCGTTGGCCTGCTATTTGTCATATCAAAGTCAATTCCCTCGATATTTCCTCCCCCTTGAGTTGGTGAACCCGGGGAGTCATGGGCGCTGGGTGGTAATCTCGATCGGAGTTGGTCTATGTGGCGTTTCCACACCCTCCCATCGTCTGTTAGCAGCCGGTAAGATCTAGGCCCGGTGAGGTGGGTAACGGTTGCGGGTATCCACAACGGGTCAGCGGAAAAGTTTTTGGCAAAGATTAAATCGCCTACCTTAAATTCCCGGCATTTGCTGCTGGAGCCGAAGGGCTTTTCCGGTGCGAATGCAGGGTGGAGCCGGTCAAGGTGCGATCGTAGTTTCCGCCCCATAAGAAGTTCAGCGGGTGTTTTGTTGGTCACGCTGTGGGGCGTGATATGCTGTAACAAGAGAATTCGATTGATTTTCTCGTCGATGTTGCCGAATTCCATTTTGTGAAGGGTCTTTTTTACAAATTGTACCATGCGTTCTGCACGTCCATTGGCCGCAGGGTGCGCGGGTGAGGTTAGCGCATGGCGGATGCCCCGATCAGCAAGATATTGTTCAAAGGGTAACGCAGTAAACTGTGGGCCGTTGTCTGAGACCAACACATCTGGGAACCCATGTGTGGCAAATAGTCTGTTTAATTTATTGATAACTGAGTCCGTTGTAGTTGTGTTCATTCGATGGATCTCGAGCCAATTCGAATAGGCGTCGACGGTAATAAGGAAAGTGTGTCTTTTGGTAGGCCCCGCAAAGTCAATATGAATACGGGACCATGGTCCCCTCGGAGTTTCCCATTCGGTCGGGATTGCTTTAGGCGGAGCGTTGCTGACGTCTTGGCAACGTTGACAAGTAGCGACCCAGGCCTCGATTCTTTTGTCAATTCCCGGCCACCAAGCGTAGCTGCGTGCAAGTGCTTTCATCCGCACGATACCCGGATGTCCTTCATGCAATACCGCCAAAACAGTTTGTTGCAATTTGCTGGGGATTACGACTCGATCGCCCCACAAGATACAGCATTTCTGGGAAAACAGCTCGGTTTGGTGGCTTTTGAAAGGCGCCCATTCCGGTGCTATTTGGTCTGTCGGCCACCCCCGTTCAACCCAGCATAGGATGTGTTGCAGAACTGGGTCACGTTTTGTTTCAAAGGCAATGTCTCTAGCCGTCAATGGTGGCACATGTAGAGCTTCGATCTGTAGTGTTGAGATGGTGGGGGCTGGATCTACAACAGAGTCTGGAAGCGGCATTCTGCTCAATGCATCAGCGTGGAGAATTGATTTCCCCGGGCGATGTTGCAAGGTGTAGTTGTAGGCCGCCAAGAATTCAGACCAACGGGTCATTCTGGGGGACAATATATACGGGGTTGGTTTATTACCCGCAATGATTCCCAGTAGCAGTTTATGATAAGTGATTATTGTAAATGCACGGCCATAAACATATTCATGAAATCTTTTAACTGCAGCCACAATAGCTAAAGCTTCTTTGTCCAGCTGCCTATAATTTCGTTCAGCTTTAGCTAAGGTTCGCGAAAAAAACGTGATGGGGGCTTCCGCTCCATTTGGTAATACGTGGGCCAGAATTGCCCCAACCCCAAAAGGTGATGCGTCACACGTGATAGTGAGCGGCAGAGTCTCGTTGTACTGCATAAGTACAGAATCAGAAGTTAGCAATTTCTTTACTTGTTGGAAAGCATGTTGTTCCCGTTGTCCCCACACCCACGTTGCTTTTTTGTCTAATAGTCTATGCAATGGTTCAGCTACCGTTGCTTTGTGGGGTAAAAAGACATTATAGAAATTGATAAGTCCAAGGAACGCCTGTAGGTCTGCCTTGTTCCTTGGAGTGGGGGCCTTTTTAATTGCCCGTAATTTCTCTTCAGTGGGATGGATTCCTTGGCTGTCCAGGAGATATCCCAGAAATTCTACTTTTTCAGTACATAACTGGCATTTATCTTTTTTTACTCTGAGGCCTGCATTTTGGAATCTTCGTAAAACCTCTCTGAGTCGTTTTTCTAGAATGTCTTTGTTAGGTGCGGCGATGAGTACATCGTCGAAATATGGGACAACGCCTCTTATCCCTTGTAACAACCTTTCCATTAAACTCTGGAATATTCCAGGGGCGACGCTTACCCCGAATTGGAGCCGGTTGCATTTAAATGCACCCCTATGCGTTACGATCGTTTGCGCCTCAGCTGTGGTTGGATCTACAGGCAATTGTTGATACGCCTGGGCTAGATCTAGTTTGGCGAAAACTTTCCCGCCACCCAGGGAATGGAGCAAGTGGCACTGGATATGCACTTTGCTGCAGTGCGTGGTTTAAGGTGGCCCGGTAGTCTCCGCAAATTCTTAGGGACCCATCAGGCTTGATAGGCGTCACTATCGGGGTTTCCCAACGGGCGTGGTCGATGGGTTCCAGTACGCCCTGCACTATTAGCTTATCGAGTTGTTCATCGATTTTAGGCTTCAAGGCGAACGGCACCCGACGCGGCTTAAGGCGGATGGGTGCTATCTCAGGGTTCAAGTTAAACGAGATCGGGGTCCCCTTGTACTTGCCTAGTCCGTTCGCGAAAACGTCTTGGAATTCTTGCACGAGTGCTTCCTCCCAATCGCTGCTCTCGGCCCTGTGGACTCCGGCTACAGTGATTCCGAGCGGTCTGAACCATTGAAGGCCTAAAAGGCTAGGCCTGTCGCGGTCCACGACAGTCAGTGGTAGTGCGACGGTGCGGGACCCGACAACGGGAATTCTGTTACCCTGATAGTCTTTGAGTATAACCCTTTGAGGGTTAAGGTCTTGGCGGCGAATCGTTGGAATGAGCTGTTGTAGCGTTTTCCACGATACCATCGAGAGGGAAGAACCCGAGTCCACTTCCATCACACAAGGTTTGTTTTCGATGGCGAGCTTTACTCGGATTTTCCTGGCATCAAGGGATGTAGCGTGGCCTATGGTGATTGTTTGGTGGGTCTCTTCCCGCCGGGTTTCTTCGCGCCTGGTGGAAGTGGTGGACGGTTTGTTTCTGTAGGAGTGGTTTCCCCATTGGTGGTTCAATTTTTTTCGGTGTGTGCCGAAGAATCCTGAAGATTGGCATTCGGCCTGTCGGGGTTTGGAGTTCTGTTTGCTTCTGCAAACCTTTGCGATGTGACCTCGTCTCCCGCAATTGCGGCAGAGTGCGTCGAGGAATTTGCAGCCGGATCGTGGGTGATTGGCTCCACAGCCGGCACACGGTCGAAATGAGTGTTGTGTGGACTGGTCTCGCTCCGTTCGAAGTCGGTTGACCTCTTCCTCATCGCTGTCGGACGGGGACTCTAGGTCTTCGTGGTGAGTTGATACCGGGTGTCTCTCTGAGCGAGGCAAGGTATCAGTGGCGAGTTTACGTAGCGGTGCATTGGTGCGGCGCATTCGGGCTGCCGACTTCTTGGTCGCCTCCGCTACCGAGGCTTCTTTAAGGGCATCGGTGAGGCTGATGTCCCCCTTAGCCATGATTTTGCTCTGGATCGTGCCGTCTTCTAGGCCCAGAACCAGGCGGTCCCGGAGGGCTTCTTCTAAGTCTGCGAATCCGCAGAGGCCTCCAAGGTTGCGGAGGTCCGTGATGTAATTGGCAAGGCTTTCGCCTTTCCGTTGATCCCTCTGGTAATTTTCGTGTCTTCTGACTAAGGTTGGCACGGTGGGCGCGTAGTGAGCCTGTAGTAAAGGCTCGAGGACGTCCCAGTCCATCTCTTTTACCTCTGCTGGCTTGGCAAGTGACTTTGCCATTTTAAACACGGTAGGCCCGCAGTGAGTTAGAAAGATAGCTCTTTTTTTGCCGGTTGTTGCATCTTTCAAATTGTTGGTCTCCAGAAACATCTGGAACCGATCCATGTATGCCTCCCAGTCTTCAGTTTCTGGGTTGAATGGAGCGGGTGGTACGGCACCGCTGGCCATGTTGCCGTTGATGGTGCGTGTTCGACCACGTGCTATGTTGGTTGCTCTGTAGGTTAGTCAGCTCTTTGGTCTCCGGATCCCATCCTCGTCGCCAGTGTTAAGTATGGAGAATAATGGAGACCAGACATCTGACCAGTGACTTCAACTCTTTAATAACAGTAAATAGAACAGAACAGAGCAAGGCTATGGGCAGCAGTAACCCTTTTATAGGGTTAGCTGCTACCTTATTACCCAATGAGATGAGCAACAAGTTCAAACTAATAACCAATAAGAATAGTCCAAATAGTGGCCAATCAGGGACTAGTTCTGGCCCAATCCAAAGTTGTTGTATAAGGACCAATCAAGTGTGCAGGTTTTCAAACCCTGATTTGCATTTAAGTTATTAACTTTTATTGATTCACAACACATTCCCTTTATAATACTGTTCTGATAAAATATCCAACAAAAATATGTCTCGTTTAAAATCAATAAGTTGCTTTATTATTTTTTCTAACTGTATATGTATTTTTGTCCAATATTTTTTGCCTTTGGACATTTCCACCACATATCATAGTATGAACCCGGTGTCAGATTACATTTCTAACATACTCTGGTTTCTCTTCAGATCATATAAATCTTTTGCCTTTTATTAGATTCTTAAATCTTTAAAATACTTCTAAGAGCACTCAAGGCAGAAGTCAGTCCTCATTTTTATGAAATTCTCAAATAGCATCTCATTCTATCAAATATATTTTAAACTGTTCCAAATGTGTTTTATTTGAAAAGGCAACTGGACCTTCTTGTTTCGTTAGAAGGTGTTTTGCTATTCATCCAAGAAGCTTGTTCAGTTCTGAGTGAATGGTGGAGAATTCAAGGATTTATATTCCTTGCAGTGATGTGGTCATTAGCCTTCTTTCTGAGAGTCATTGAGGCCATTTGGAGGTTTAGCTGTTCCCTCAGGTTCATCTGAATCCGAAATATATTTTTTAAATTATTGTTAGAAAAGACTATAAAATTATGCCATAAAACTTGACAGGGATTAAAATTTGATAAAAGGCTTTCTTCACTTTTCTGCCATATCTTATTGTCTTCACCGTGTTTTGTTTACTGCTTTCTTTGCTTACCTAAGAGACATATCTGACAGTCCATCCTATATTGCTACATAATAATAATAATGTATCCCATTATTCCACCTAGGACTAATCCATGATTTACAGCACAAGAAACAAGGACATTAGAGTTGCTCTTTCAAGGCTTCCTGGTCAGAAGTCATTTAATTTTAAAGAAGTATGAATTATGTACCTGTCTATGTTTGCATTTGATCAGGAAAGAAAAAAAATTAAACATGTGATATACACTTACATCATCATTACCCCTATTGTAAGCAACTTACTCTACCTTAAAATGTTTATTTTGTTCATTAATGAGACAGATTTCACCTCTGTGGATGTTGTTATGATCCATTAAGGCAACACTAACCCTCTGTTACAATTTTAGAAACAAGTTACTGACTTAAAAACTGGTGTCATCAAGTTAATTTCAGTTACCTAGACCAGGGGTCCCCAACCGCCGGTCCGCGGACCGATACCGGTCCGCGGAACAACTCTTACCGGGCCGCTGGTTGCTGGGCGCCGCCATCTTTTTTTGGTAAAAAAGTGCTTCCGGTGAGCTTTTCCGGGTAGAAAGCTCACCGGAAGCACTTTTTCATCAAAAAAAGATGGCGGCGCCCAGTTGATGCCGGTACCGGGCCGCGGCGCCCAGCTGATGCCGGTACCGGGCCGCGGCATCAAAAAGGTTGGGGATCCCTGACCTAGACCATCATCTACATGGAGATGGACCTACATGGAGGATTACTGGCAAGGAATGCAGTGAACCTGACCTGGAAAGAATATATTTGGAAAATGACTAGCTCATCTTATCAGAAGGGCTTTAAATTAAAATTGAGGGGGGGAATGGGGCCAATCTTAACAAATTTTAGAACTTAATTCCAAGCAAAAACCACTAGATAACCAATCACATAAGGAAGTAGGGAGTAAAAACAAAGAAAAAAGAAAAACACAATGAAGTAGAGAGTGATGGAAAGATGGAAAACCCAGTTACAAAATAGGAAATATAAGAAACATACGAGACCCATAAAGGATGGTCAAACAAATCCTCACAGTTTAGGGATTATTTATATCACAAAGAACTCAGAATAATTCTTCATGTCACTGTTATTATTTAAAGCAGAACCCAAAACATCTCATTTTCTAAGGACAGCTGTACAATATGCTGCATAAATAGCAACAAGTATTAAATAACAATAATTGAACCTCCCATTCCATAAAACCAAAATAAATGACAGAAGGAACTGACAACATGTCAGTCTTCCATCTTTTCAAGGTCAATAAAATGTGGACTCAGATTGTTGGGGAAAATATGCTGACTCTGAAAATCACTTAGATTGTAGTGATGTAAAGTCTAAGTACTATTGCTATTCCTTAATCTGAAATTAAGTGATTATGAAACTGAGACAGTTTAGATTTTCATTACTTTGGTGGTGCAGTGGTTAGAGTGCAGTACTGCAGGCTACTTCTGCTTACAGCCAGCTGCCTGCATTTTGGCAGATGGAATCTCAGCCTTCCATACTTCCAAGGTGAGTAAAATGAGGACCCAGATTGTTGGGGGCAATATGCTGACTCTGTAAACCACTTAGAGAGGGCTGTAAAACACTACGAAGCAGTGTATACATCTAAGTGTTAGTGCTTTTGCTTAAAAAGTGATGAAATCAGATTTAGTGTTCCTGGCTTTTTCTTGACTGTGCCTGAAAATTAGCCCTTTTCACTCCCCACTCCCACTCTCCTCTATTATAATAATAAAGACACCTGGGTGTCTCTTACCTTTTAAAAAGTTTTGTTGCCTTTGTTTTGTTTTTTAAATCCACCCCAGGAGGTTGAGCAGGAGGTTGAGTATTATGAGTTGAGACTGTATTTTTTTTAAAATCCTTGGGGAAATGGCAAGAAAGAATAAATAAAATCTCATGGAAATATAGCACAACAAAATTTTTTACTGGTGGCTTTGGAAAGAGAACACGAAAAAGAATAAAGAAATATTCATGAACAAACATGGATAGAGATGGTGAGACATTAACTTCTATTTATTTTGAAGTATATGTTATTTCTCGCTTTTTTCCTTTACATATGCATGAGTTTTCCCTTTTCTTTGCAATTAAAATTCAAACAAAATACAGATTACCATTTAAGTTTTAGCTGTTTATGGAGAAACCAGGAACTTTTATTTAAGGGGAGAAATAGAAATAAACAGACTAGCACTTAAAACAACCTAAATTAATCAAATAGAACAAATAATAGTTTTTGACACTGTTTCCCCTTTACTTCCTGCTTTGGATATTGTACAGACATACTTCAATTTTTCAGGTTAGTGGTTGAGATTTAGCTGACTAAGAAGAATTACCATGATCTCATGTAATTTAATTTCAATTAATTTCATTTAATCTAATATGTTTTCTTTTTCACTTTGTGTCAATGTTTAAATATATTCTTTGAAAACATTTTCATTCACTTTATAAACAATTTTTAATTCAAATTATGTTGTCAAATAGAATTGGGGGTTCTCGTTAGAAGCTATTTTCACAATCATCATTTTGTATAGAACTAGGTAAAGATGAGAAGATCATTCAAAGGTTTAAAAAATATAACCATGCCATAATTTAAACCTTGCAGTTCATATAAGGTCATTTATACATGAAAAAGAAAATTTAAAATTTAAAATTATGCTTAAAAGGTAACAAAAACTTTCTTTTTGTTCACAGGTACCAAAATAAATAAATATGGCTAATCTCAACCTAACACAAATAAGATGTTTCTATAAGAATTAAAGAAAGGAGTTTACTCAAGATGGTAATTTTGAATAAGGATAAATTTACAACAATTCTAGAGCTACTCCTGTGAAATCTCAAAAACCTGTACTATCTAAAATTGTGTGTTATAGTACATTAAATTCAGTTCATCAAGTAATGGTAATGCATTGTGCCTGTCTTATCTCTGCCAGTTAAAGTTGAATAAACTTAGAAAAAGAGAAAGAGCAAACTCAGTTCTGTCACATTAACATGTTTGAATATATTCAGTTCCTGTTTCCAACAGTTTTTTATCTGACTTGATAAAAGTAACCTTCTTGCTTTTAGCTCCTATTTCTGATGAAGTTAGGCTAAACAACCTAATAAATTTAAATATTTCTAACCCAAGATTATAAAGCCATAAGATTTGACAGTAGTAAAATATCTTTAAAAGTAATCATCTTGAATTTTAAGAAAACACAATTTCATTATACCAAGGAATGTCCTAACAATTTTTAGAGCCAGTTTTTAATATGATTATCACTAAAAGCTGAACCATCCTTCTGTAACTCATTCAGAACTGTACTGAAAGGAAATATTTTAGCAATTCTTTTTCCTTTTTTTTAGGATATATTGTTTAAGAATGGATAATGATACTTCAGAGTTTCTTCTTTGGGAATTCTCAAAGATTTGGGAGCTACAGATTATGCATGTGGCTTTGCTACTGGTACTCTATTTAATGACAGTAACATGGAATCTTCTCATCATCTCAGCTGTTGTTTGTGATCACCATCTTCACATCCCCATGTACTTCTTTTTGACGAATTTAGCCATGCAAGACATTGGTTCAGTTTCAGCCATTATCCCCAAAACACTTTTTAATTTTCTTACAAATAGAAGAACTATTTCTTACTCAGGGTGTGTTGCCCAAGTCATGTTTTTATTGTTTTTCCTGAGCTGTGATATTTCTCTGCTTACTGTCATGGCCTATGATCGATATGTTGCCATTTGTAACCCTTTACATTATGAAATGATAATGAACAGGAAGGCTTGTACCAACATGATTGCTGGTGTATGGACTGCCAGCCTTCTCAATGCTTCATTACACACTACTGTCACTTTTATGATTCCCCTCTGCTCTAATAATGTAAACCAGTTCTTCTGTGAAATCCCATATTTACTTATGATTGCCTGTTCTAATTTATATGTATCTGAAATTGGATTTCAAATTTTCAGTGCTATATTAGCAACTGGTTGCTTTGCCTTTGTCATTATGACTTATGTATATGTCTTCTCTGCTGTTCTGAGAATTCCCTCTGTTCAAGGAAGGAAAAAGGCCTTCTCTACTTGCTTGCCACATATGTTTGTTTTCTTCATATTTTTGTTTACTTGTTGCCTTGCTTATTTGAAACCTATAGCTGATAGTGAATCACATCCAAACTTTATAATAACATTATTGTATTCCATTATTCCATCTATGTTGAATCCATTTATTTACAGCATGAGAAACGAAGACATCAAAGTTGCTATTTCAAGACTTTTTGGTCAGAAGTTAGTATTTTTTTAAGGTGAATGAGCTGTGTATCTTCTTATTTTCAAATAAGGGAAAGTACAAGAGCTATTTTCCCAACAATTTCCCACTTTCCAATACATTGAGTACACTGAGTTAGCTCTGACCTTTGATGGCTATAGGGGCATACTGTCTAATTTTCTTGGCAACATTTTATGAAATAGCTGAAAGAAATTTGCTGAAAGGATATCCAACTAGGTGAGGATGGACCCACACTCTTTTTATTCCTGCCTTTGATTTAACCATTAGACAATAATGGTTGTCTATGCCATAATACATAGATTAAGGCTTGTTTCTTTTGCCTGATGCCAAAGTTCAGAGATAAGTATCACAATAGAGGTTTAGTGAAAGACAGGTAACAGATATAAAATTAGAATTAACTAGTATCAAATATTGAATGAAATGGAACTTTGCATATTTCTGATATAGATACAGTACAGAAAATCTGTAAATAATGTATTTATTAGGAGAAAGCATTGAATAAATGTATTTGGAAGTAAATGATCTGTTTGTTTTAGGGAAAATTATTGTAAATTGTATTTAAAAGGTCCATATGCATAATATTTAAAATGTATATGAAGACACACGTGAGTTGCTTACCATCCTTCTTTACTGAGGTTTTCATTTTTTGTACTTAAAATGTTTATTCATTTATATGCTTCTTTAGTCATCAAAGTAATTTTATACAGCTTACGTAGTAAGAACTATCTATCTATAACATAAAGAAATATGAATCAAGATATGTTCCACTTTTTGAAGTTTCAAATAAACCTAAATAATCCACTCTATGCAAAAACTTCATCTTCTATTAAAAGTCTCTGATTTTAAAAAAGTGGAAAACAAAAATGAATTGAATGGGATCTAAGTAGTTTACTTTTCTACAGTATTTATTGGCACATTTCTTATTTCTTCAAGAAAATATGGTTAAGGTAAATATGGAGGTTTGAACCGGTTCCAATTTATTAAAAGGAATAACAAATTAAACCAATCCAACTGTTCATCATCAGATTTTTAAATCATATTTGATTACTGGGCATCAATTTAATATTCTGAGTAAATTTAGTATAGACTCTGTAATGAGAATTTGGAAACAGCTTACAATCAAAATTTCGAATATTAGTATTTGCAGTAATGGAAGAATGGCACTTTAATTTATAGAAACAACAACTACGATTAAGATGAAAATAAAGAGACTATGCAAATATTTGTATTAACTAACTGGAGAAGTTTAATATGTCATTTAACTGAAGTTGTGAGGTGTGCACTGATACGGCAATGGTTAAACTGCAGTATTGCAGGCAAACTCTGCCCACAGCTGGGAATTTGATCCTGATGGGCCTCCAGGTTGACTCAGCCTTTCATTATTCTAAATTAGGTAAAATAATCACCCAGATTGTTAGGGCAAAATGCAAATAATGTTCACATTATAAATCATCCAAAGAAGGCTGCAAAGCACTATGGGGTGACATATAAATCTAAATGATATTGCTTTGTGAATGTAGTGTCAGGCCATTTTTCCTTACAATTGTAATACATGCATATTACTTCATTTTCCCAAATAATATTAGCACTTTACATTTTCAAGTAAACATGATCTCAGGACTGATTCAAACATTGCAAACTTTCCCATTTTTTAAAAAAAATAAAGAAATAGTATCTAACAAGTTCATTATCCTTTTCTTCCAAACTTCATTGTGGCAATATTCACATGAGTAAACCCATGAACATAAATAATAAAGATGCAAAAAAATCCCTCCAGGAATCAATTTGTCAAACTGATGTAACTTACTTAAATGTATCACATACTCATTTAATGATATATCAAATAACACCAGAACAACTAGCCACAAGGACCGTTTTTTCCCCAAATGCCATCACTCTGCTAAACACTGTCCAACTATTTACAAAGTAGTTGGAATAAGATAAACTTGGTGGGATGAAACCCATGACTGGAACATACTGGTAGAAGGATATAAACTATTCATAAAAAACAGATCTCATAAAAGAGGAGGTGGAGTTGCACTGTATGTAAAGCACTGTATATGCACTATATTGCTACAAAAATGCATGAAACCAAAGATGAAAACCTCCTAGAATGCATATGGGTCAATATAAAAGAAAAAAAGAATAACATGGCCATAGGTGTATATTATAGGCCACCCAATCAAGCAGAAAAAATAGATGTCCTTTTGCCAGCCAACTAACAAACATATGCAGAAAACACACAACAATAGTAATGGGAGACTTCAATTATCCTGATATCAATTGGAATACTAATTCTGCACCAAGTGAGAAATCAAATAAGTTCCTAACCAACGTAGTTGACAACTTTGTTGTCCAAAAGGTAGAAGGTGAAACTAGAGGGACAGCCATACTGGATTTGATTCTTACAAACAGAGGGAGTTGAAACTGCAGGAACCTTGGGTGAGAGTGACCATGTCATACTAGAATTCAACATAACACAAACACAAGCAACAGAACATAATGACACCAGAGTCTTGGATTTTAAAAGAGCTGATTTCAATAAACTCAGATAGAACTTGAGAAAGATTCCATGGATGAAAATCCTAAAGGGGAAAACAACTCAAGAATCTTGGGAAACTCTAAAAAGTATGATCATAGAAGCCCAGACCAGCACAATACCACTGAGAAAGAAAAACAAGAAATCCAAGAAGAAACCAGCATGGCTGCACAAAGATCTCTCTGGCAAATTGAAAGAAAAAAAGGACAAGTACAAAAAATGGAAAGAAGGACATACAACTAAGGAAGAATATCAGCAGATAGCCAGAATCTACAAAGATGAAGTCAGGATAGCAAAGGCTCAGAACGAACAAAGACTTGCAACAAAAGTAAAAGATAATAAAAAAAAGTTTCTTCCAACATATAAATAACAAGAAAAAAAACAAGGAAACAATTGGTCCACTAAAGAGAGAAGATGGCAAGGAAGTAAAAAGCAACAGAGAGAAAGCAGAACTGCTTAACTCATTTTTTGCATCCGTCTTCACCGAAAAAGAAACTTTAGCTCAACCCACCAAAAACATAACTGTAAAACCAGTTATGTATAGACCAGAAATAAAAGATAAAATAAGCAAAAAATAGTAAGAGAACACCTGTCTGATCTTGATGAAAACAAATCACGAGGGCCTGATGGATTACATCCCAGAGTTTTAAAGGAGCTGGCAGAGGTCATCTCAGAACCACTGCACCATATCTTTCAAAAATCCTGGAGCACCGGACAACTACCAGAGGACTGGAAAAGAGCTGGTGTGGTTCCCGTCTTCAAAAAGGGGGGGGGGAATAAACAGACCCAGGAAACTACAGACCAATCAGCCTAACATCAATACCCGGGAAGATACTGGAAAAGATAATTAAATACAGATCTGCCAACTTCTATAAACAAGTAAAGTAATAACTAGCAGTCAGCACGGGTTTGTTAAGAACAGATCATGCCAAACTAATCTTATTTCATTCTTCAACATAATGACTAAATTAGTAGACCAGCAAAATACCGTGGACATAATATATTTAGATTTCAGCAAGGTATTTGACAAAGTAGACCACAACCTACTTCTTAGTAAGCTAGAAAAAAGTGGAATAGATAGCATCACCACTAGATGGACTCGCAACTGGCTAGCAAACCGTACTCAGTGAGTAGTCCTTAATGGGTCTAAGTCTACATGGAGGGAAGCAAGCAGAGGGGTGCCACAAGGTTCCGTCTTAGGCCCAGTACTCTTCAATATCTTCATCAATGACTTAGATGAGGGAATAGAAGGGGAACTTACCAAATTTGCAGATGATACTAAGCTGGCAGGAATAGCTAACACCCAAGAAGATAGGCTCAAGATCCAGATGGATCTTGACAGACTAGAACACTGGGCCATATCTAACAAAATGAAATTCAATGTAGAGAAAAGTAAAGTCCTACACTTAGGCAAGAAAAACACATATAGACTGGGTGAAACCAGGCTCAATAGCAGTAACTGTGAGAGGGATCTTGGAGTCTTAGTGGACAATTAGCTAAATATGAGCCAGCAGTGTGCAGCAGCAGCCAAAAAAGCTAATGCAATCCTAAATTGTATTAACAGAGGGATACATCAAGATCAAGGGAAGTACTAACACCACTCTATAAAGGCTTAGTAAGACCACACCTAGTGTACTGCATCCAGTTTTGTTCACCACATTATAAAAAAGATGTTGAGACTCTAGAAAAAGTACAGAGAAGAGCAACCAGGATGATTAGGGGACTGGAGGCTAAAATATACAACAAATGGTTGCAGGAACTGAGCTTGGCGAGTCTAGTAAAAAGAAAGACCAGGGGAGAATAATGGATGGAAACTGAACAAGGAGAGATTTAATCTGGAAATAAGGAGAAACTTTCTGACAGTGAGAACTATCAACCAATGAAACAGCTTGCCCTCAGAAGTTGTAGAAGCGCCATCACTTGAGACTTTCAAGAAGAGATTGGACTGCCATTTGTCAGAAATGGTGTAGAGCAGTATATTTTATTTTATTACTCCTTATTTTCTTTCCTTCCTTACTTCCTCCCTCCCTCCTCTCCTTCCTTCCCTCCTCCTCTTCCTTCCTTCTTTCCTTCTTTCCTTCCTCCCTCTCTCCTTCCTTCCTTTCTTCCTCTCCTTCCTTCCTTCCGTCCTTTCCTTCCTTCCTTCCCTCCCTCCTCCTCCTCCTCTTCCTCCTCTTCCTTCCTTCCTTCCTTCCTTCCTTCCTTCCTTCCTTCCTTCCTTCCTCCCCTCCCTCCCTCCTGGTCAGCATAGACTTTTAAGCAAGAAGGAGATATCTTGAATGGTGCTTTTCCTGGCTTTTATCTGTGAAATAGATCTTGCACTTGTTTTTCTGTGAACACCAGAGGTTGTGAATCCAATGGGTTGGGGTCAGTTGTAGGAGGCTTGGCTGTTGTTGGTGTGTTTGAGATGTGGGTTGTGGAGATAGGTGGCCATAGTTTCCTTTCAAACCTGCAGTAAAACACATTCAGGTCATCT